TCACTCACACTCACACTCACTCACACTCACTCACACACACTCACTCTCACTCACACTCACTCACTTACACACACACTCACTCTCACTCACACTCAAACACACTCACACTCACTCTCACACACACTCACACACTCTCACTCAATCTCACACACTCACTCACACTCACACTCACTCACACTCATTCACACTCACACTCACAGTCACACTCACACTCAATCATACAGTCACACTCACTCACATTCACAGTCACACTCACTCAATCACACACTCACACTCACACACACACTCACACACACTCACACTCACTCACACTCACTAACATACTCACTCACACTCACACCATTCACACTCACAAACACTCACACTCACACCCACTCACACTCACACTCACTCACACAATCACACTCACACAATCACACACACTCGCACTCACTCACACAGATGCTCACCCTCTACACATACACACACATACTCACACACATACGCTGACACACACACCCACACTCTGACACACACCCTCCCGCACACATTCACACTCACACTGACACTCCCACACACTAACACTCACTCATACACACTCACACAGATGCAAACTCACACACACTCAAACTCACACACACATTGATAGAACATAGAACATAGAACAGTACAGCACAGTACAGGCCCTTCGGCCCACGATGTAGTGGCGAACTTTTACCCTAATCCTAAGGTCTATCTAACCTCCACCCCTACCTTATACTATCATCCATATACCTATCTAATAGCCGCTTAAATGCCCCTAATGAGGCCGAATCCACTACCCTCTCCGGCAATGCATTCCACGCCCCGACCACTCTCTGAGTAAAGAACCTACCTCTGACGTCTCCCCTGTATCTACCTCCACTCACTTTAAAACTGTGCCCCCTTGTAATAGCTACCTCCACCCGAGGAAAAAGTCTCTGGCTGTCTACTCTATCTATACCTCTGATCATTTTGTACATCTCGATCAAGTCACCTCTCATCCTTCATCGTTCTAAAGAGAAAAGCCCTAGACTCCCACACACTCACACTCACTCACTCTCATACTCACTCACATAGACTCACAACAGGCGCAAACTCATACATACTCAAACTCACACACACTCTCACACTCACACACTCTCGTACTCACATAATCTCCCATTCACACACTTTCACATTCTCACACTCTCATTCTCTCACACTGACACTCACTCACACAGGTGCAAACTCATACATATTCAAACTCACACACACTCAGACACTCTCACACTCACACCCTCGTACTCACACAATCTCCCACTCACACACTTTCACATTCTCACACTCTCACACTCACACACTCTCACTCACATATGCTCACACACAATCACACTCATTCACACAAATGCTCACCCTCACACACATCCACACACTCACTCTCACACATACCCACACGCACACAGACACTCACAAATTGACTCTCTCTCACACACGCAAACAGACACACACACAATCACACACACTCACACACACTCACTCACACACACTCACACACACACAATCACTCACACACTCACTCACACACACTCGCACACCTTCACTCTCACAGACTCAAACTCACACTCACAAACACACATACTCACACACTCATACACACTCACACAGTCACAAACACTCTCACAAGCACTCACACAGACTCAAACTCACACACACTCAAACTCATAAACACTCTCACACTTATACACTCATACACTCTCACACTCAATCAATCTCACACTCACTCAAACACACTCTCACACTCACACACTCTCACATTCTAACACTCTCAATCTCTCACTCTCACACTCTCTGACACACACACTCTCGCGCTTACACAAACACACTTTCACATTGTCACACTGTCACTCTGTCACACTCACACTCACTCAGATACACTCACTCACACAGATGCTTACCCTCTACACACACACTCTCACACACACCCTCACACACACAACCACAATCTCACACACACCATCACGCACATATTCACACTCACACTCCCACACACGTACAATCATACACTCACAAGACGCAAACTCACACACACTTTCACACTCACACTCACACACACTCACACACTTATACTCACACACAATCACTCAAGCTCACACACTCACACACACTCATGCAGACTCAACTCACACACATACATACTCATACATACATTCACACACTCACACACTCACACAAACTTGCACATACTCACAAACACACACATTCACACACTCACACAGACTCACACTCACTCAAATGCACACACACTCACCCTCATGTGTGCACATACACACACAAACACTCACACACATACTCACCCACACACACACACTCACAGTCGCACTCACTCTCACACACTCACACTCACTCACAGTCAGACTCACACTTACACTCACACCCACACTGACACATTCACTCACACACTCACATGCACCTACACCCACACACACTCACACACACTCACAAACCCACTCAAACACACACACACACACACACACACACACATGCTCACTGTCACATTCTCACACTCACACACTCACGCACTGGCACTCACACTCACACTGACATATACTCACACACTCACCCTCACCACACACTCACCTACACGTGCGCACACACACAAACACTCACACACCCACATGCACACACTCACGCATGCACACACTGACCCTCAAGCATACACTCACACATGGACACACACACACTTTCACACACAAGAGATACACACACAGACACACACACAATCACACACACTCACACATACTCACTCACATGCACTCACAAACCCACTTTCTCATTCAAAAATACAAACACACACTCGCACAGACACTCACAAACTCACTCTATCACACACACACACACACAGAGTCACACATCAGGCTAAACTGAAAATTAAGGTAACACCCCTCAATCTTCTAGATAGAGTCATACAGCACAGAAACAGACCCTTCAGTCCAAACAGTCCCTGCCGAACATAATCCCAAACTAAACTAATCCCACCTGCCTCCTCCTGGCCCATATCCCTCCAAACCTTTCACTTGTGAGGCCACTTCTCGAGAACTGTGTCCAGTTTTCGTCACCCTGTTATAGCAAGAATATTATTAAACTGGAGAGGGTTCAGAAAAGATTCATCAGGATGTTGCCAGGAATGGAGGGCCTGAGCCACAAGGATAAGCCAGGATCACCACCATTCCCACCCACCCCCCACCACACCCCCACACTGGATCATAAGAGGCTGAGGGGCAATCACACAGAGGCTCATAAAACCATGAGGGACATAGACAATGTGAATGACAGGCATTTCTGCCCCTTCTCCCCACATCCCCAAAAGCTTACATCTTTGGAACTGAGCATTATTGAGCGAGCTGTTTTTCCATGAATTATAAGACTGAGTGATCACTTACTTTCCATGGGTTCCTTGGATTTCCTCCCACTTGCGGATTTCCTCAGCAGACTCCTTCCTGAGGTAAAGAGACAACTGAGCTCTTCCAGGGGGCTGGTTGGTGTTCTGGAACGTGCCCCAGTGTGCACAGCTCCATGAGATGTCGAAGAGTTTCCTGTTTTGCCTCCTTCCTGTATGGGGGCTTTCGATGTAGACTGAGGCACTGCGGAGGAACACCTTGGTGTTGGATGGATGGACTCGTAGGGTGGGGGTCTTTTTAGGCCCAAAGGAGTCATGGAGCGACCCATGGTGACTGGAGATGGGGATATCGAGTGGCTAAAGTGACTTTGAAGACTATGAGGTGACGGTGTCCTGTAAAGAGTTGAAGGGAGTGGTGGAGAGGAGGGCCTTCCAGTGGTACATATTCCATGAGAAGGGGGCAGGTCTTTCTCAACTTTCTGGTACCCAACCGCCTGAGCTGGCAGTGCTGATGGGGAAGCACTGGCCTGTTTGATGTAGGAGATACTTGTTTCCAGTACTGGCAGCTTAGTAACTTCCAATGGTGTTAGAGGGGACTCGTCTGAGGTTGGGGAGCATTGTGTGGGAGCAGGGGGAAACACAAGGAGTGGGGGACGATGAGGAAGCAGGTTTGGAAATGGAGGTGGAATCTCACAAAAGAAGCCCTTTGGGGTGGATGGCACTGAAGACTTTGTAATTTCCAGATCAGGCACAGTAGGAGTGGCACACTGAGAATGAGGATCTGCATTGGCTGCGCTGATCCATTTGAGATCCTGGGCCACCTCATCAAACATCGGATATTTCATTTCTTCATAAACAGCTTCGCTTTGATCATCATCATCCCTTTTAACATCCCGTAATATATTCCCAACCATTTCAATGTAGACAGGCTCCTCTTCATCAGTGCCCTGGGAGGAACTGACCGTTTGTCCTAGAGAATTTTCCTTGCTTCCCACAGCCATTGCCTTCCTGCTGCCTTGTTTAGTGCCGTAGGTTTCATCAAAGGAAGTGCTGAGCTGTGTGTTCGGGTCACGTCTCGGTTTCGGAGGTGGGATCCTTTTGCCGTATTCATCGCTGTGTGGTCTGGGTTTTGTTGAAGCTAGGCAAAGTGAAACAAGTGTGTTATTGTGCAAATCATTTTTTCCAGAACTTTCTACCTGTAAATTGCTTATTTAATGGGAATATTTAATTTGTTTTTACGGTTATAATGGAAATATTGAGTCATGCATTAACTTTACATACGTAGGGAATACACTAACAATATCATTTATGATATTTGTTTGGGGGCATGTGAGTGTAAATTAAATCATGTTTTGACACACATAGCAACACAAAACTAAGGCACAGCATGAAACAAGTTCAATTAATGTCCTCATGCTTCAGAAATGCCACAAAGCTGCTCATTAAAATTAACTTACTTTTCAATTGAAACACCTACAATAAATACAATGATAACTCTACAATGGTGAGCAGTGTGAACAAGCAATTCTATTTAGTCAGTTTCCATTTGTGATCTTGTACTGGGGTGTACGTGCTCTTGAATGTGTGACTATGGAGAGATGCCGAATAGATGTGAGGTATTTCACTAATGCAAGGCAGACACTACTCATGTGAACTTGTAGCGGATGAAGTCAGGAAATAATCTGCTGCTCCTTCTCTAGGCCATTAATTATACATAAGGAGTGAAGGTGAACTCCAGTCTGATTTGTAACCCAAGAAAATGCACTCCATCGGAATTATGTAGCCAGAGGAATCACTGAAACTCTGTGCCGTGGCGTTAGGCTGTGTTTTGTACAGAATAAGTTCTGCTCCCTGGGATTCATTCTGTATGCCATTACCCAGAGTGGTGTACAGTGTAGCACATCGGGATTGAGCCATCACAGTGGGAATTCATTCCATCATGATCTCTGAGGAAATAGAAACTCCCATCTCTGTTCATGTTATATATTTTATTGTAATATTATTATTTAATTTTTAAATGACAAGAGCAGCCAGGGACAGGCAATAAATGCTGCCCAGTCAATGGTGCCCATGCCCAACAGGTGAATAAAAGAAACTTCTGAAATTGTGTTGATAAGCTATTTCATATCAGAGGGTAATCTTAGAAACAGCAGAGGGACAGTTGGTCCCTGACTTCAAATTGTAAATTCCTTAGAAAGGAACAGCGTTCGCTCTAGGACTTGCTTTTCCATCATTTTCCTCAATTGAATTTACTGTTGTGTCAGAGTTACCCTGATGTGATTATGGAGCTGAATATTGACAGCAGACTTAGCTGACCCATTTGATATTAACTGCAATGACTGTAGTCACCTGGTTTATTCCACCTAGATGGCACTAAAGGGCTAAGTACAGGCAGCATGGAGCATCGTCATCATGCTGAACATACATTAAAGCTGAAAACGCTTGAAATACTCAGTTGGGTCTGTTGACTGAGAAGCAAAGTTTATGTTTCAGGTCGATGACTTTTCATCAGGATTGGTGAAGATTAGAAATCAGGAGGGTTCTTCATGTTTTTAATTTCTTTTTGTTCAAACAGGGAAGGATGGAATTCAAATACTTCTCTCCCGTTTGCTCTGCCCACAACCTCTCTCGTTATTTAATCTCTCCTACCTTCCATCCTATTACAGACCTTCCTTTCATCTGCTTCCCAACAGGCTTGCTCAAGTATTTCTAACTTTTCCCAATATTGATGGATTTAATACCCCCTCTGGAGGTGCTTTCAGTGGTGGTAAGAGTCTCAAGATCACCTGAGTATAGTTAGGTGGCTGTTTCAGGCTGGTGGGAGCACAATGTTCCAAAAGGGTCTTTTCCTGTGCTGTAGACCTCAGTGATTGTATTCAATACACAATATGAACAATTGTAGTAGGCTTTTCCAATAAACAGTGAGGATGTGTGAGTGACAGATTAGAACTGACACTTTTAAACAATAACGTCGATAAAGCAAGAGAACGGAATATGTTTCCTGGATGTGATGTGCCTCATACATTATGTCAAAGCATTTAAGAATTTGCTCACTTCCAATGCAGTCTTGAAATTGAATTATACAACAGATAAGCCTTTGTCTTATTTGGCCATTATCATCCATCTCCATTGCCTTTGTGCAGATGCTATTACTTAGATTGTTTCTACTTTTAGAGGCTTTCTCTCTGAATCAGCCATTGATTTTCTCTGGACGAATTGCACAAAGTGCTGTCCTATCGCTTTGAAGATTAACCTGTCTAGAGAGGAGCCACAGTTCCTCCTATAATAAAGAGGTCAATTTAAAAAGATATCTGTTATCATTTAAGCAGCAACTGACAATGTTTATTGTGAAACCACAGCATGGTTCAAGAAAAGCCTTTGATTAACGTGAATGAAGTTGACACTGACCTGATCATGTGGTGCAGTCATTTAATGGAATCACATGTTAAAATAAACAATTTGAATGGGATTAAAATGTAACCAGTGTTTGATGCCAATGAACATTCTGGCTGCTTCTGCTATAGCATTTGAGCTGTTTGAAAGGATAGTTTTGTAGAATTAATCAGAACAGCGGCTCAATATATTTCCGATTATTATTAACAGATAAAAAAGCTGTGGGGTTCTCCAAGCCCATGTTTAGACAGTGAGGGTGATGCCACTGTATATGTGCATCAGTACAAGTAGGAATGATTTGTGAAGCAGAGGGATTGCACCTTGTGAGTTGTGCTTAGTCTCACAAAGGAGGAAGTGTAGCATTTGCTAATTCTGCATCAATGGCATTGAGATTTTTCTGCTGAATGCTAATGTACAAAGGTTTAATGTGTCCACCAGAAGTTCATCCCTCTTTTTTTAATCACAGGAGTTGGGGGTCTACTTAATCCATCCAGCACAGTTAGAAAAGGATCTGAGGAGTTAAGCTGCATTATTTAACCTTGGCTACGCACCTCCTTCGCTTTTGCAACATGCTACATTTGGAGGTGTCGGGGTAAACCACTCTGGAGTAGTGGGTCTGTCATGATGGTAAATTGTTGGTGTTCTGCGGCTATATTTTGGCAGTTGTTTTAAATTTATTGCTGGCCAACCAGGTTTCAAGAAACCTGACAGCTAAAAGGCTGAAATAACAGCTGGCTTTAGCAGGTAGCCCTTGTTAAATTGCATGGGTCACGGGCCTGGGGGAGAAGACATGCTTCTCCTGGGGTGGGGGGTCCTGCAAACATATTTCCCAACACACTTGGATTGGGCACTGCACCTCTGGCCACGAGTTTGCGGATGCCACAAAGCTGGGTGGGAAGCTAAGGAAGATACAGAGATACTCCAGTGTTGATTTGGACACACTTAGTCTGTGAGAAAATGTATGGCAGATGGATTTTAATGTGAATTAATGTAAGATAATCCACTTTGGGAGCAGGGAAAGGGGTGATTGTTATCTGAATAGCAATAGAGTGGGAAAATGTGAAGTGCAACAAGACCTGGATAGTTGAACAATTGACATAAAATCATTTAAATAATATGTCATTTCACTGTCACCTGATGGAGACAGTTCTCCGGTTCACAAAATGTTGGTTTGATATCAGGCACTTTGCATATAACTTTGAGGGTAAGCCCTGCTTGTTTTGTGAAACAGAATGGGCTTGTGGACTTGATCACATGCAACAAGTAATGGGTACTAAGGTCCATGCCATCAGCCATTTTAATTGTCTCCTGATCTTCAAATAGCACCGTCTCTAAAAGATGTACACTCTTTCTAAATACCATCTATGACACTTGGGAAGAAATCCTGGTCTCAGTTAAATCAGCTGCGGCCATTCCCATGTGACCTTTGACACGTACTTTAACTGGATCCCAGTTGACACCACAAGTGTTCCCTGCCATTATCCTCTCCATCTGACAACCCAGAAAGCTCACATTCAGCAATCAGGGGCAGAAATGCTGCCAAATATTTGCCTCTCCACTTCAGGAATATGGTCATTAATGACAGCACAATGCAGGCTGGGTTTAACTCAATTGACATAGTATCAACAGACAGGTTGGCAGCTCCTGGTACGTTGTGTAAAACCACGGAGCCATCAAGGGAGTTATTTTAATATGGAGAGATTCAACTACAAAACCATTCCTGCCAGCAATTTTTAAAAGTTTCCAATTTCCCTAACTGAATGCCACAGAGATTATTGGCTGTACACTATTCCATTATTTTGAATAAATGAAGGGGCAAGGCTGGAGTGGAGGCATCAAACTTTGTGTATTTACACTGAAATCTCATTGTGTAACAGAAACAATTAAAAACTATTGTCTGGTATTAAAGAGATAGTGGGAACTGCCGATGCTGGAGAATCTGAGATAACAAGGTGTAGAGCTGGATGAACACAGCAGGCCAAGCAGCATCAGAGGAGCAGGAAAGCTGACGTTTCGGGTCTGGACCCTTCTTCAGAAATGATTTCTTTGGGATGTGGTCGGGGGCGGTCAATGTGGACTTCACAAGCTTCAAAATCTCCCTTCCCCCAATCGCATCCCAAAACCAGCCCAGCTCGTCCCCGCCTCCCTAACCTGTCCTTCGTCCCACCTATCCACTCCTCCCACCTCAACCCCCAACACCACGTCCTACCTACCAGCCTCATCCCTGCCTCCTTGACCTGTCTGTCTTCCCTTGACTGACCAACCCCCACCCTAACTCCCCACCTACACTCACCTTTACTGGCTCCATCCCTGCCTCCCTGACCTGTCTGTCTCCTCTCCACCTATCTTCTCCTTTATCCACCTACCATCTGCCTCCCCCTCTGTCCCTATTTATTTCAGAATCCCCTTCCCCTCCCCCATTTCTGAAGAAGGGTCCAGACCCAAAACGTCAGCTTTCTTGCTCCTCTGATGCTGCTTGGCCTGCTGTGTTCATCCAGCTCTACACCTTGTCCAACATTAGGTGTGTTTCTGAGATCGCACTGCAGCTGGTAAATAATAACTGAGTGTGATACAAAATATACTGACGAGGAATTAAAAATTGTCAGTTGAGGTTCCAGTGTGACATTCTCCTGCATGCAGGAAGCTGCATATATGAATACATAGGAGCCTGTTCCTTGCAGACAGAAAGAATATTTACACACGTTTTATCTGTTTCAACTTTACAAATGATGACATCTATTCTCTGGCTCATTTCTCAGGGCAATGTCTACAACAATCAGAGTCAACCTGCTTGGGTCACGTTTAACAAAGTTTTGCAGTTATCTGTCAGTCATCAACTAACTGGTGTATTCTCCATGATAAGTGGCAGAAGGAATAGAGGGGATGTGAGGAAAACGTCTTTGCCCAGAGGGTGGTGGGTGCCTGGAATTCGCTGCCTGTGTTGGTGGTACAGGCAGAGACCCTAAACTCAGAAGTATGTGGATCTGCACCATAAGTGCTGTAGGCTGCAGGACTATGGGCCGTGTGCAGGATGATCAGATTAGAAAGGGCATCTGGCCATTTTTGTGTCAGCATGGACAAGATGGGCTGAACGTCCCCTTCTGCGCTGTATCATTTCTATGGTTCCAATGTGTCTACCAATCAGAGCCAACCAATCAGGATTCTCTCGTTATGCAGTATAAAATTAATTTCTTCATGTTGTGAATGTTGTGAAATATGTCGGGGAGGTGATGGCCTAGTGGTATTATCACTGGACTGTTAACCCAGAGACACAAGTAATGTTCTGGATTTGAATCCTGCCATGGCAAATGGTGGAATTTGAATTCAATAAATATCTGGTATTAAGAGTCTAATGATGCCCATGAATCCGTTACTGATTGTTGGAAAAACCCATCTGGTTCACTAACGTCCTTTAGGGAAGGAAACTGCCATCCTTACCTGGTCTGGCCTACATGTGACTCCAGACCCAAGGCAAAGTAGTTGACTCTCAACTTCCCTCTGGGCAATTAGGGATGGACAATAAATGCTGCCTAGCTAGCAACGCCCTCATCCCGTTAATGAATTAAGAAAAAAAATGTACAAGTTGAAAAGTTTCTTTCAGACGTCTTTTATCAGCAATGCTCAAGTGTTATACTCCCAAACGATTAGTTGTCACCATGTCTTCTTACCTTGTTTCACTGCGGCCTGGATAGTGAGTTTCTTCTCATCTACAAAAGTGCTTAGAGTCAACTGCTGCAAAATGTGAGACAGAAGTACCTGTAATATTTTAATAATTTAAGTGTAAGATTTGTTCACCTGCATTTTTGTCTTGCTCTTTCAGTGCTGTTCCAGTTGGCACTGGTGTCCCTCCTATTCCAGCAGTTGCTGGTGTTCCTCCCACTCCTGGTGTCCCTTCTGGTCCTGGTGTCCCTTCTGTTCCTGGTGTCCCTCCAGCTCCAGGTGTTCCTCCCATTCCAGGTGTTCCTCCTGTTGCCGACGTTGCTACAAATCCCACATTGACGGTTTCTGCTGAGATGCTGAGCTTTGTACTTGGATCTCGCTTGGGCTTTGGAGGCGGCTGTTTTCGAGCACAGGTATGACTTTCATCATCACCACCTCCAACAGAGTGAAGTGACTGAGACCTGACAGAAAAGCCACTGGCACAGGGATGTGGCAGGCGGTCCTGAGGAGCAGGCAGTGTCATGAATCCCAAACGGAAGTGTTTTCCCATGCAAGTACCATCACTTCCTTTCCCAACCTCTGCACCTAATCTGGAAGAAAAGCAACAAGAGATGGTTAGAAGATTGAAGATGAATCTTTCACTCCATTTCTTCGGTCCTTTACTTTGGAAAACAATGCTCTCACTTCCCTGTCAGGTGAAGAATAGTTTTGTCAGTTACTAATTCTCAAGGTCAGGGAATGGTGTCAATCATATCACAAGATTAGAATGGCAGATCAGGAATAGGTAAGGCTTAATTATCCCACCTAACTTATTCTATTGCACATATCAATATTCGGTGGAACCTCAGACTATTTTTATCAGAACAAGAGGAGGCCATTCAGGCCCTCAAGCCTGTTCCACTATTCAATGAGATCCTGGCTGATCTGTGGCCTAACTCCATATCCCTGCCTTGGGCCCATATCCCTCAGTACCTTTGTTTAACAAAAATGTAACTATTGCAGATTTAAAGTTAACAACTGATCCAGCATCCACTGCCATTTGTGGAAAAGAGTTCCAAACCTCTCCCACCCTTTGTGTGTAGAAGTGTTTCCCAACATCTCTTCTGAACAGTCTGGCCCTAATTCTCACACTATACCCCTAGTTCCAGAATTCCCAACCGGTGGGAATAGCAAATCTTTATCTACCCTGTCTTTTCCTGTTAATATTTTAAAGTCTTCGATCAGATCACCCCTTAACCTTCTAAATTCTAGAGAAAAAAAACAAGCCGAATTTGTATAAGCTCTCCTCATAACTTACCCCCTGAAGTCCAAGTCTTGTAAACCATTGTACTCCCTCTGAGATCAGTATATCCTTCCTGAGGTATGGTGCTTGGATCTGCTCACAGTGCTCCAAGTGGGATCTAACCAAGGTTTTGTAAACTGCAGCAACTGTCTGCATCTTTTAACTCCAGTCCTCTAGCTGCCCCATTCTCAGAATGAATTCACAAATAAAAGCAAAATACTATAGATGCCCACAATCTGAAACAAATACAGAAAATGCTGGAGAAACTCAGCAGGTTGGCAGCATCTGTGCAGAGAGAAACAGAGTTAACGTTTCTAGTCCAGTATGACACTGCGTCAGAACTTTAATTAACAAATGCAGCCTTATAACAGTTGTACTGCTTGAGACAATTGCAGTTATTCATCAATACTGCTCTTGTGCTCAGCACCTTGCTTGCTCCTGCAACGTAGCAAGTTGTTAAAAATTGAAACATGTGGACATCTGAGAAGCCAGGATCTCACTCCCTGCATTGTTTGTTGGTACACCATCATTGAGCGGCAGTGTATCATAAAACACCACAGATACAAACAGCATTTCGTGGTCAAGGAAATTAACCAAGTCTTGTACCAATAAACAATGTACAAGAAACCTCCATGAATTAAAGCAGTGATATAAATGGGAAAAGAAATGAGGATGCTGAATTCAGACCAGAAGCCAATCGAACCTACATCAACAATTCTGGATTGGTAACCAACAAAATCAGAAATTGCTGGAGAAACTCAGCAGGACTGAGAGCATCTGTGTGGGGAGAGAAACAAAAGTCCAATAGGACTCCCCTTCAGAACCGATAGCAGTTGGGAAAAGGTGATATTTATGCCAATGACACGAGAAAGGGAGTGAATGGATTGTTGGAGACAGAGCCCAGAGAGAGAGAAAAAAAAATGGCAGGCAAACAAAGGGATTGTTGGCAGTAAGCAAGGGAAGAGGAGAAGCCCTTTTTTTATCAGAGATAGTAGGAACTGCAGATGCTGGAGAATCCGAGACAACAAGGTGTAGAGCTGGATGAACACAGCAGGCCAAGCAGCATCATAGGAGCAGAAAGGCTGACCTTTCCGGCCTAGACCCTTCAGGGTCTAGGCCCGAAACGTCAGCCCTTTTTTATGATTTTTTTTCCTGCAAAAGTATACCCTATTCATAAAAAAATTACCTTTATGTATATGCACTGGTACTAATGCAGTTCTGGGCAGTCAAGTATAAAAAGGAAAAAGGCTCACTCAGAGTCAACTTCTTGCTCTGGAAGATCAACAAGTTTTGGGCAGACCAAAAAGTGTCTTCCATCGACTTGATGGTCCTCCAGGTGCAGTTGATGTTTCTCCTGGTGTGTGTCCTGGGGAACAGACCGTAGCGCACAGAGTCCCACATCACGGAACCTCAGGACGAACCTCAATAAAAACCACTGCAGCCTTTCTCCAGATTTCCTGTTCAAAGGCACATTCCAGAAGGAGATGTGTGACAGTCTCAACCCATCCCCTGCAGCCACTTTGAGGGCAGCATGCGGTGGTGCAGGCAGACTGGGTGTGCATACAGGCTCTCACAGACACTGCCCTTCTCACCACCAGCCATGCAATGTCTTGGTGCTTGTTGTCTGCGTCCCCACCTTAACGAATTTCAGGCACGACATGACATCAAACTCTCCTTCTGTCTTTTTCACCTCCGTGCCCATTTCTTTGGATAATAGTACTCTCCTATTCCATAGACCCCTTCGCCCAGTTCCAACACTCTCCCTCCACCTGGACAACTCCCTCCGACCTTTTACCTGCACTCGATCTGTTCATTGAGAACTCTTGACATGACATTGATCGCCTCAATTTCTCTGCTCCTCTCACCAAATCCAACCTATCTCCCTCTGAACTGACTGCACTCCGTGCACTCAGATCTAACCCTGACTTTGTCATTAAGCCTCCCGATAAGGGTGGTGCTGTTGTAGCCTGGCGTACTGACTTCTACTTTGCAGAGGCTCAGCACCAACTCTCAGATACCTCCTCCTACATTCCCCTGGACCATGACCCCACCATCACACATCAGACCATTGTATCAACCACTGCACTAACCTCATTTCATCTGGTGAACCACCTCCTGCCCTCAACCACCCTCCCACCAACCCTCCCTCCCCGCCACTGCCTCCAAGCTGATAGTCCCCCACCCCTACACAGCTCACTTCTACCTCCTCCCAAAAATCCACAAACAGGACTGTCCAGGTAGACCCATTGTTTCAGCCTGTTCCTGCCCCACAGAACTCATCTCTTCCTACCTTGACTCAGTCTGCTCCCCACCGGTCCAATCCCTGCCCACGTACATCCATGATTCCTCTGACACTTTACTCCAGTTCCGGAATTTCTTGTGATGTCAGCATGTGATCCTGTCCACCAGGCCTTTACTCTCCCAAGTGGTCTTTAACACATGGACGATAAATGTGAAAACCTGGCTCCAAATATCTTTTTACTAATATTGCCAACAGCAACTTCTATGCTTATAACTTTAAGACAGAACGTAACAGCAACAACAAATTATGTAAAAAAAATGGAGTGTGCCCACAAGAGACTGATCAATCCTCGAGAATGTGGTGATGCTTTATCTGTTTTGTAGTGTATGTTATTACTTTGTGACTCTGTGTGACTGCAATATGTTGCCAAATTTATAGTCCATTTCCAAAACAGCCTCTGTCTAAACATGCTGTATGTAACTATCAGGATATTTAAAAAAGAAGTTGAAGCTGGACCCTTGGGGACCGCTTTGCAGAACACCTATGCTCGGTTCACACTAAACAACTGCACCTCCCAGTCGCGAACCATTTCAACTCCCCCTCCCATTCCTCAGACAACATGTCCATCCTGGGCCTCCTGCAGTGCCACAAAGATGCCACCCGAAGGTTGCAGGAACAGCACCTCATATTCTGCTTGGGAACCCTGCAGCCCAATGGTATCAATGTGGACTTCACAAGCTTCAAAATCTCCCCTCCCCCTACCGCATCCCAAAACCAGCCCAGCTTGTCCCCGCCTCCCTAACCTGTTCTTCCTCCCACCTATCCCCTCCTCCCACCTCAAGCCGCACCCCCATCTCCTACCTACTAACCTCATCCCACCCCCTTGACCTGTCCGTCCTCCCTGGACTGACCTATCCCCTCCCTAACTCCCCACCTACACTCACCTTTACTGGCTCCATCCCCGCCTCTTCGACCTGTTTGTTTCCTCTCCACCTATCCTCTCCTCTATCCATCTTCTATCCGCCTCCCACTCTCTCCCTGTTTATTTCAGAATCCCCTTCCCCTCCCCCATTTCTGAGGAAGGGTCTCGACCCAAAACGTCAGCCTCTCTCCTCCTCTGATGCTGCTTGGCCTGCTGTGTTCATCCATCTCTACACCTTGTTACCTATTGATCACATGCTGGTCATACAGAACTCTCTTTAATTAAAATGGATCAAACAATGATCACCTTTAAAAAAGGTGTTTTCTCCCTTGCAGCAAATAGATAGTGAAGGTTTATGCTATGCAGCAGAGGTTGGTTTTATAGACGTCTAAGTAACATCGGCTTTGGCTTTGTGGAATATCCTGTCCCTCAGTGAAAACACTCCACCATTGCAAAGTCCAGTCCTTAAGGTGAAACTCAGGCCTGAAAGACCAGAAGCCACAGTTTTCCTGAAATGTCTCTGGAATGTGGGAATCTTCGTCATGTTCAGGCTAAGATCATTCTTACACTCTTCAACCTCAAATAAAGACAGCACTGTGCAAATGATCCAGTGGTACATGTTTAGGATCTAAACTAAACTTGACATCTTCGATAGGCTAGAGTTAGAAATACAAAATAAACAATTTGTTTCAAAGGGGTACGCTGTTTATTACCTGCAGCTTGCATTCTTGTGGTACCCATCTGGTTTTAGAGGTTAAAGGGTGTAGAACAGAGTTTGAGTTGAATTATTCATGACATGTGGCATTAATGTATTAAAAACTATTACATTTATGGCCTCCACAATATCTGTCAAACTGAACGGTTCCATCGCAATCTCCTTTCACCCACACCTTCAGACTCACATTGTCATCTCAACACAAGCTAATGAAATAGATATATTTCAGTTCCGACTTGTTCAGGTGGATTATCAGATGGAGAAAACTAATCAAATCAAAAGACATTGCCTGTCTTTTTACCAGCTCTGACAGATATATCACCGAGAGAGAGTTTAACTGACTGATTGCAGAATATCATCATTAGCTTCACTGTGTGGAGGCACGAGGTTTATGTTTAGCACAGGCTTGGTGGGCTGAAGGGCCTGTTC